TAACGTAAAAAAAATATAGAACTTATAAAAAAAAGAATGAAAAAGAAATAAAAAAAGTATACTGGCCGTGGGACTCGAACCCACGACCTTGCGGCTGGTTTATTCGCATTACTGCCGTCTGTAAGGGTAAAATTTTAATTTGCATTTATGCTTATTAATTCAAATTAATTTTCTCCGTCTGTCTACCATATAAGCCAGAAAAATCTGAAATATAAATAAAACATTAAGCTGAACTAATTCAAGCAAGGCACTAAATTATATCAACCACAAATTTACACAACTTACTGTTCGCCTCATGGAAGCTTTATTTTCCTTAATGACATTTTATTCATTGTGGATATTGCTAAGTTGGTTGCAGGTGATTAGAGAGGAGTTGTCAATACGTGTGATAGAGATGTGCAATAAAACTCGGTACTTTAGAATCCCGGGTTGTTTCATTTTGCTATTTGGTTAGTTAATGGAAATGCGTCCGTTTCGGGTTTAATAATTTTATTGTTTCAGTAAAATAAATAAAAACTCATCTAATAATTTTTTAATTTTCGGAAGAATTTTTTATTTATAAGGGCTCAATTTATTTGTGCACCATAGTAAATTTTTCCACCCCGTCTCACAATGGAGAAAAAGTTACCGGTTGGCACACAGCCTAACTCTGAAAAGATTTATAAAAGATAACAAGAGAACCGGTTCTTTTGACAAGGGCGTACATCTCTAGCTAGCAACGGCCCCATCTGTTGTTCGCGAGCAGAGACCAAAGATATAAGATTCGATGGAATGGGAAATGTACGAAAGTACATATGTGCAGTTTGGACAGGGTAAACAGTGAAAACTTGAAAATACATTTCAAAACATTTGTGATACAAGTTGACATTTTCATTATAGCAGTACACTCTACTATTACCGGGTGGCAGGAAAAGGTCACCATAGTTACTGTGTAATCTTGTATTTACTCGTTCGGGGAATGGCTTTCAAATTTCTCACTCGTATGATTTGCTACGCGTACGATTTTTGCTTTGCTTTTTCCATATTTACCTAAACACATAATATTCTGCGAACAAGCTTAAATCCGTAAACTGTGATAGATTGAAAGGAAAATTGTTTTCAAGCTGTTGGCAATTCGTAGATACGTGTGTGAGCATGTAAACGCCACCTTTAAACTCATTATTACATTCACGATATTAATATTTATTTAATTTATGAGTTAATATGGCAACTCACTGAATTGAGCACACAAATTTAAAATCGATTACAATGTATCGAATAATAATAAAGTACCCTACCAACTTTTACAATGAATTAAAGTACCCCATGCACTTTTATATGGTCTTGCAGTATTACCTGCAGTACACAGTAGTCATTCACATCCTCAAAAGTAACATTTGTTAAATTTTGTGCACCTTTATTTGCACCACGCCACCCAACCAATAACGAATAAAATAAAAATAACAAGTAAGAATGTCTAAGTTCGGGCGGAGCCGAACATTAAATACCCGGTGCAAGTATTTAATATATGACTTTCACATTTCCGAAAGCTACCGCTACATGGTAATCCGTGGCGTACCAATTTTGATTAAATTAGAGTCCTTAAATTTCGAAATTTTGAAGTTTCAAGCAGTTCTGAAATTTACCGTTGTATGAAAAGCGGTCTCAATTTAATTCCGATTTCAATAATTTTCAACGTTTTGCTTTTATGTGGCAAGCACAATAAAAATACCGAGTTTGGTACGAATTGGTAGAACGGTTACCGATATACATATATGTGGTCATAAGTGGGCGGTGCCACGCCCATTTACCAAAATTTAACCATAAACGTATTTCTTGGTAAAGAATTGTTGCAAGCATCAATTTTGAATAAGTTAGCTTTAATATTTACTGATTTATCGAAGATTTTATATTTCTCTAAATTACCGTTATATGGGATGTAGGCGTGGTTAT